AAAAAAAAAAAAAAAAAAAATTTAAATAATACAGAATTTGTAAAGAGAAAGAAAGGACTAATTTTAAATATGAAATGTACAGGCAGAATCCTCTTACAATTTAAAACAGTCAAGATAATCAGGTAGAATTTATTGTTGGTAAGTTCATTACTATCAAATTGGAAACACTCAAGTACTGTTGTGAAGAAAGTTCAACTTCTACTACTTGGAATTAAAAAAAAGAAAGAAAAAAGGTTTCTTCTTTGGGTAGCATTACTCTGAATCCTTCAATGAATTACTGATTTAATTGTGGTAACTTTGCAATAAGTTTCAGTTTGAACTTCTTTCCTTCATTTTATAGACAGACCAGGGCATCAAAAACCTTTCTGTTGAAGACGCAGCCAGGCTTTCCCAGGAAGATCCTGACTACGGCCTCCGGGATCTTTTTAATGCCATTGCCACAGGAAACTACCCCTCCTGGACTTTTTACATCCAGGTCATGACATTTAGTCAGGCAGAAACTTTTCCATTTAATCCATTTGATGTCACCAAGGTGAGTTGGTAACAACTGTATTGTTTCCTTGTTTAAGTTTCTTCTGACCTAATTTAAAGAGATTTCCAGTCAAGCATTCCCAATGAATGGGAAGTCACATCCAAAATACAGTGGTAACTCTTATAAGTAGCTTTGTATACTGTTATTAGTGGGGAACACCTTTGAAAAGCTAATATACTTTTTCCTGGGGAAAGTGTCAGTATTTACCATTTACTGTTATGAGAGATTCAGCTAATGTCCTCAACTGAAGTTCTTATCATGTTAAATTAGATTAAAAACTATTATTTTCACTGCCTTGATTATATTTCAAAGCTGGTATTTTTATGGGTAGCTTTAATTTCCTTCACTTGGCTGTCTGGTAATTGCGAATTTGACATTGTTTTCAGATTTGGCCTCACAAAGATTTCCCTCTTATCCCAGTGGGTAAACTGGTCTTAAATCGGAATCCAGTTAATTACTTTGCTGAGGTTGAACAGATTGCCTTTGACCCAAGCAACATGCCTCCTGGCATCGAGCCCAGCCCTGACAAAATGCTGCAGGTGAGCCTGGTGGGTTGAGGTGTTCGGGGGCCGGTTTCCATGTGTGCGCACACTCACCGTGTGCAGTTTGGCGTGGTGTTTACGGGAAGAATTCACTAGAGCATTCCTTAAACTTTAATCTGGGTGCTCAGTTCCCCATGGGACTCACTGAGCTGAATAAACCCAGTAGAAGCTCAATTCCATGGTTAAAATGTCTGCATATGTGAAGACATGAATGCTTCGTCTCCTAATTTTTTAAAAAGGATGTAATAGAAATGTCTAGGTATTCGTAGAAAAGCATAGTCCATTTAGTCTGTAACTGTTAATGGGAAGGAATGTAATTAGCTGATGAATACCCTGGTCAGAATAACCATTCATTTCCTATTTCTTGGCGATGCTCACATTTTGCCATCTGTAAGAAGAGATCTGGGGGTGATCTTTATCAACTCAATTCGTGTTGCCAGTGAGAAAGGCAGAGAATTGATTTAACAATTTGTCTTGATAGTGTTGCTAGGCAACCAGTATGTTTTCTAAAGCTCTCCAGTATTTTCTTCCAAGAGTACAAAGAGTGAAAAATTCTACTTTGCACCAGGATCGATAGGAAAATAATTGGCTTCATAATTAGCGTGTAAATCAGTATTTGGTGTTTTTGGACTATGACCATGGGACAAAGTTCAAAGATTATGCCCTCGATGAGACCACGGTGCCTGAGGGTGCTTCTTTTCTAGCTGAAAGTATCTGATTCCAGTTCGGGTTTCAGTCTCCATGGAGGACTAGTTGAGATTCCTGTGGTTTGGGGTTTTTTTGAATAACATTTTTTGCTAAGACATTAGGAACATCTGAAGCTTGTGTAGAAAGTTAAGTTTTTCATTAGTTCCATTAGTTTAACTATTATAAATGGAGTCCCTACCTACTGTGTGTGATAGAGTGTTCTGGGTGCTAGAATAGATATAAAAACACAGGATACTGATAACATAAGGCAGAATGCTACGGTGAATCGGAAGGTGAAGTTTAGTCTGATAGTTTCATGAACAAGGTAGCATTTGATATGGGTTTTAATTTTCAATAGGCAAAATGGGACAGGAGTTTAAAAGGAAATGAGTAAAAATGGACAAATTATAGTCGCTCTTTCCTCAGTGAGAAGGGTGGGGTTTCAACAGGTTCAGTGGGCATATGTCAGAGGGGACCTTAAATGCTTGAGTAGGAGTTTGTACAGTTGTTTGTCCCTTCTAGGGAAAGAAAAGTTTTCTTCAGTTTTGAAAAATGTGGTCTGATGTGTATATATTTACCTGTATATGAGTAGATACGTTTGTATCAAGGAGAATCACTCATTTTGGTGATAAATAGAAAAAATGGGAAACTAGGGATGGGGAATAGAAAAAGAAAGTCAAGCTGATTCAGAGGATAAGCAAAAGTTGCCTTGAAACTGTGGAGCAGAGGAAGCCCTGACGGTGACCCTGGCCCTTGAGCCTCCTTGCCCAGTGTTTGGAAAAGCTGAACCATGTGAAGGAGAGGCTCAGAGGATTCACCAAGGTGTGGAAATGTCCTGGGCAGAACCAAGGCTGTATAACCCTGGTGTTGAGGGAATAGGTTGAGGAATAAAAGGCCACCCAAATTCTTTGCACCAGAATCCAAGTCACTATAGGTCTCTGGCTTCACACAGGGACCCCAAGGCATTCAGCAATGTTGACTTTTACAACCTGAAGAACAATTAAGTGTGGGGAACCTGTGGCCTTAAGGCCACGTGTGGCTCTCCAGATCCCCAAGTATAGCCCCTTGACCAAATCCAAACTTCACAGAACAAATCCCTTTACTGAAAGCATTTGTTCTGTAAAATTTAGATTCAGTCAAAAGGCTGCACTCAAGGATTCAGAAGGCCATGTGTGGCCCCAAGGTCGCAGAGCCTCCACCCCTCTCTGAGGCATCTGTGGGAAAGAGAGTGACATGGATGACAAGTGGAAATTAACGTAATTTCTGGCCGGATGCTGTGGCTCACACCTGTAATCCTAGCACTTTGGGAGGCTGAAGCAGAAAGACTGCTAGAGGCCAGGAGTTTAAGACCAGCCTGAGCAACAGAGTCAGATCCCAATCTCTACAAAAATCCAGAAAAATTATTTGGCCCTGGCACACCCCTGTAGTCCCAACTATGTAGGAGGCTGAGGTAGAATGACTTGAGCCTAGAAGTTTGAGGTTACTGTGAGCTATGATGATGTCACCGTACTCTAGGCAGACTCTCTTTTTTTTAAAAAAAGACTCTTTTTTTAAAAAAAAGGTGTGTATATATATGTCTTTTTAAAAAAAGACTCTCTTTTTTTTAAAAAAAGGTGTGTGTATATATGTTATATAATTAATATAATTATATATATAATTTCTGTTAGCATTAATTTCGGTTAGGCAAATATATCTGTTTTAAAGTCAGTGTGCTGTCTTTATAGTTTTTTAAAATGAATTTTTAAAAAATGTTTGAAAGAGCATTCCTAAGTTTTGCTAAGTGAGCGTTCCTAGCCTTAGCTTTTCCTGTAACTTCTTTTAGTTATGAATCACAACGCTGTGGAACGTGTTAGAAGGCCTGTTAAAGCCACACGTGGTCATTTGGTGACCCAATGAGGAATCATTTAAGGTTTTTTGAATAGAGAAATAATATAATCTGAGGAGGGCCTAGGGAAGATTCTTTTGGCAAGAACAAGTGGTTGTATTGTTGGAATCGGGGTGATGTGGAGAGCCAGTTAGGAGGGCTTTGAAATTATTCCTGATGAGAGCTAATGAGCACTGTAGCTTGAGCGGTGGCCGTTGGTATATTAATGGCCAGTGTTCTTAGTTACCTTTTAACAAGGTTGTATTAGTGGATTTCACAACTTTATCCCAAGAGGTGAGCCAGTTGACGGTGAAATGGGCAAAGTGGCATAATAGAAGTCCCACCCTGTCCCCTGAGCATCTGGGGGTGCAGGTGCAGCCTTTCTTTACCCCCATACTCTGCACTTACTTGGAGTTGGAGAAGTTATGCTGATAGGTAGAGTGGAAAAAGATTATTCTGCTTTTTCATCCAGGTCTAGCAAGGGAGTTTAGGCACAGAGCTTTGTGTAAGGCCTAGATTCAAATTGGTGTCAGGGTATGGCCTCACTATGCCCATTTCCCAACCTTTGTTGGCCTCCACCCATAGGTGGAGTAGGGTTGCCTGATAATCATAAGGTAATACAAACTCAGAATTGTATGATGGAGGCTATATCCAGGAGCTGCTCGGGGCGCAGGTTTGTCTTCCATCCTGTTGATTAGGTTAAGAGCAGAACTTTTTGAGCCAAAGGAGGCAACCAGCTTCCAAACTATAAGTGGATATTAGTCATGGCTGCATGACCAGTCATCTAAACATGGCTTTAGACTACTTGAAATGATTATAGGAAGTGAGTCCTACAGCAAAGAGCAAATTATCAGGAGAACAAAGTAAGTGCATAAGTTGCTGTATTCGGCTGGGTCTTTCTTTTGCCTCATAGAATCAGGGATATAAGAATACTGTTGGCATGGCACCCGTAGCACAGTGGTTACGGTGCCAGCCACATACACCAAAGGTGGTGGGTTCCAACCTGACCCGGGCCAGCTAACTAACAATGACAACTGCAACAAGAAATAGCCAGGCATTGTGGCAGGTGCCGGTAGTCCCAGCTACTTGGGAAGCTGAGGCAAGAGAATTGCTTGAGCTTAAGAGTTTGAGGTTGCTGTGACCTGTGATGCCATGGCACTCTACTGAGGGCAACATAGTGAGACTCTGTCTCAAAAAAAAAAAAAAAAGAATACTGTTTAAGATTGAAGGCCAATGATAAAGTCAATGAAACCAAAATTGCCCATTGAGTAGAATTTTGAATAATGGAACACTTAAGTAATTAGATATTAATATTAATGTAGAATTAATCATAACGTTTTTTGTTTCGGCATTAACTGAAAGAAATTTCAAAACCCTTACCATCCTGCCTTGGTTAATATGTAACAGCACTTAATCTTAGATTTATTACCTTTGGCATTTGGCATTGTAGGACCATGGTTTTGACCCATAACATTCTTGTGGTACTTTCTTTATATCTAGGAAGTCATAGAGCTCAGTGTATATCTGAAAAAACTCAGAAGGAAATGTGCAATGTATTTCTTTGAACAGTTTCCTATACAGCTGGTTTTGTAGAAATTTGTGGCTTTTTGTGAAAAGCAAATGATGGATTCTTCCCCTGGAGTAGAGGAATGGAGGGAGTGGAATTAATTTAGGATTCCAGATTTTAGCAAATTTGTTTTACAAATACTTCCTTGGCAATGGAAAGTAATACTCTATAAGTCAAGTCCCTAACTTGTTCTTTGAGGGGGGAAAAAAGAAGTGTTATTATCTAAAAGAGATGTGAACATTTATGGTTGACCAGATGGCATGGGATTGAAGGATGGCCAGCTAGGGAGAACTCATTTCATAAGAGGAGAGATCTCGCTCTTTGCGGTAACCAAGTACAGAGAACTTTGTACTTCAAATTCTAGAATGGAGTTTATGGCCTATCTTTATATGTTACTGCCTCCAGTCAACAATGTTGCATTTATTACCTCAGGGCCGCCTTTTTTCCTATCCTGACACTCACCGCCACCGTCTGGGACCCAACTATCTTCAGTTACCCGTGAACTGTCCCTACCGTGCTCGAGTGGCCAACTATCAGCGGGACGGCCCCATGTGCTCACAGGACAATCAGGGTAGGCCTGAAGACATTTGGCTCCCCCTGTGAGGGTCCAGGGCATGTGGGGTAGTTGGGATGGGACAGCAGGCCCATGGAATCTCCTGCTTTTTGTGGGTACTCACCACAACTGGATGTCTTTTGCCCAGCAGTGAAGGTTTAAACCACCTGAGGACTCTCCATGTTTTTATCTATTTTATGTATTTTATTGAGACCTCCCCCCTCAGATGTTACTTGCTGTTCCTCTGAGAGTTAAAGGCAGGAAGAAAGCTCTTTCACGCCGGCTATAGTACTGTAACATCCAACTTGGGAGTTAGGTCTCAACAAAATGGACAATGCCTTAACTCACTTTTAAGTTACCAAGACTTAGATCCTTGGAAGTGTAAAACCCTAGTTCACGTCTTTTGTTTTTCTTTGCAGTTCTGTTGAAGGCTTGGGGGAACAAGTCTTAGAGGGGATAGAGCAGGCTGGGGATAGGGGAGAAGGAGGGGATAGAGCAAATCATAGGATTTTCCCCCATGTCTTCTTCCTAGGTGAAGGTAGTTGAAGTCATGTCAATGAACTGGTAAGGTGAAACTTTATTGAATTTTGGTTGTTTGGAGCTCATTTATCACTTTTTTTTTTTTTTTTTTGAGACAGAGTCTCACTATGTCACCCTTGGTAGAGGGCCATGGTGTCACAGCTCACAGCAACCTCAAACTCTTGGGCTTATGCAATTCTCTTGCCTCAGTCTCCCAAGTAGCTGGGACTATAGGCACCCACCACAACGCCTGGCTACATTTATCACATTTTTGATTTTTTCTTTCAACTACTTTTTTTGAGTGCCATTTACAAACAGTCTCTAGTTCTGACTTGTCAAGTGGAATGTTTGATCAATGTATTTTCCTTTTAATATTCTACAGTTCAGGTTAACATAAATCTCAGTTATTTCATTTTCCTATTTAGGATATTGTTTTGGTAATAGGTTGCTTAGATCAGTCCTTTCAGCAATTTTACTGGTGATAAATTAGATATAGATATCAATTTGATATAGACTTCTACAATCAAAGTTATTTTCTGTGATTAAAAATATTAACATGTGCCCTAAAGAAAATTTGGAAAGTATAGGGGAAGGAAGAGAAGAAAGAAGAAAAGCTCACTTATAGCTCCAGCATCCAAAGGTCATAGCTGTTACATTTTTGCTGTATTGCTATTCTTTACTGTGAAAATTTTTCATACGCTTAGGCTTATTGGGCGTGCGTAAATTTGTGCCTTGCTCTTGTTTCTATTATTGCTAAGCCTTTTCATATATTTAACAAGCTTACGTGCTTATAAATTATATTAGGTGGTTGTGATATTTCTGATCTCTGAGGTTAGAGGCATGAGGTGTGTTATTAACCAAGGTAATTGACACTTTCTTTTTTTTTATTTCTTATAGCATAACTATGTACATTAATGCAATCATGGGGTACAGTGTGCTATTTTCATATACATTCTGAAATACTCTCATCAAACTGGTTAATATAACCTTCATGTCCTTTTCTTAGTTATTGAGTCAAGACATTCATACTCTGCTTTTAGAAAGATTCACTTGTACCCTTGTAAGATTAACCATAGAGGTGACCCCACCAGTCACCCTCCCTCCCCCGATTTGCCCCCCCCCGGTAATTGACACTTTCTGTGTCTTTCTTCTGCATTTTTATACTTCTCCTTTTTTTTCATTCATATTCCTTGGTTGTCCTTTCTTTATGGAAATCGTCTGTAGCAGAGAGGTTCATGTATATTTTGAACTTCAGTGATGAGTAATTGCTTCATGTATACCATTCTTGTTCACCATTACAGTGGCATACTTATGAAAACCTACTTAAGGATCTATTTTTACCTGCCCTTTGCCTAATTTTATTTTATTTTTAATTATATATATGTATATAATTAAAATACATATATTATGAAACAATAATGTATATATTGTTTCAGGTTAATTGAGGGTACAAAGAATTAGGCTACAAGTTTGCATTTGTTAGGTAAAACGCCTCTTATAATTGTGTCCCGCCTTTGCCAAAATTTAAAAGAGCATTTGGGCTGTGCTCTTGAAGCTCCACAAAAAAAATTTAAATGATCCTACTATTCAGTTCCTAAAGATAGCTGCCATTCTGAGTAAAGGTCAAAGCTTATTTGAAAATAAGAAATTTGGAAATAATAGAACTTTAAAGTTACTTAAATAGGCACATTTCGAAGAGTTCCTTTTTCACATAGACAACACTGGGATGGCTGGTTGGGGGAGCATTTTGCTTTTCATATGGATATGGCTGAACTAGGATGAATTTCTTGAGCTAAGAGTTGAGCTTCACAAATGTGTTGTGTCCCCCCTTCCCTACATACACATTTGGTGCCTCAGTCAATGTGATAGATAGGCATCTCTTGATTATCCACTGTAGATAATCTCTTCTGACTGAGAGCTGGGTGGAATTCCAACCCCAGACTGGTTTGCTCAGACCACGTAACATGTTTCTGGGCCACTCCTGTTTGGGCAGAGTTTGCTCAGACGATTCCAGTTTCTGTTAGTGTCAGCCCAAGCAGAATGTAGTCAGGACAGTAAATATGCCAAAATGAAAAAAAAAAGGCTCATAATTTATTTCAAAAGTCGTAGAAAATGTTTTGATTGTCTTTTTCATGATTTCTTTCTGTAAAAACAGTTACATGAGTTCCAACATAGTATAAATACCAAATTTTTAAAAATCTATTTTTCTTTTAATTTATCTATGGAGGGACACAAAAGTGGAGCTAGAATTGAATAAAGTCACCATGGTAAGTAACGGAGAGATACCCTGGGAATGTTAAAAGCATTTAAGGAAGAGTGAGGTGTGGTTCTGTGATGGAAATACGGTATACTCTGGGCTGGAAGAGATAAAACCCCAGAGTTCTTCTAATCCTGACACTGCAGCCGTTGGTTAACATTGCAGGGCTCCATGTTTGTGTCTGTAAACAAGACCAGGACTTTCAGGTTGCTGCCAAGAATTCTGTGACTCAGCGTTTGAGCTGAGCCCAAGTCCAAATGAAACCCTCAAATCTGAAATGTGTCTTTGGGTCTCTTCTCCGTGGTGGCCAAATCAAACCTGTGTACATTTATGCTTATGCTGCTAAGCATCAGATGACGTGGTAGACTGGGCCATTTGAAGTCTTGAAATGGGCTTTGAGATCTCTTCATTAAGACTCCGAGTAAGGTAGCTCATGAGAGCATTTGGAGGATGGCAGGACTCAGCAAGAATATTAGTCTACCTGTAGTTAAACATAGAAGTTATAGATAGTATGTGTGTGTTGTGTTTATGTCTGTGGCTGTGTATTTGATTACCACTTAAATTTAGTTCTCATCCATTGACTATTTGCTCATTCATCATATTTCTAAGTGAATCCTTGTGGTTTTCCCTTAAAGGTGGTGCTCCGAATTACTACCCCAACAGCTTTAGTGCTCCCGAACAGCAGCCTTCTGCCCTGGAGCACAGAACCCGCTATTCTGCAGACGTGCAGCGCTTCAACAGTGCCAGTGACGATAACGTCTCTCAGGTAATGGCGTCTTTGCTGTGGGAGTCACTTGCTAATCCTCCTTGTCAAGGTCTGCATGTTTTTCTCCTCTTAAAATGTCTAATTTGTCTTAAGTTGAATTCAGGAAAGACTTGTATCTAATGCAAATCAGACAATTGGGTGGAGTTGAAGAGTTGTGTCACTGTGCTGCTCTTTTTGTTAGAGGTATGGAGAATTGTCTTAGTTTATTGAAGGATACTGTGGGTGGGGGCAAGGTTTGGGGAAACAGTGATCTCAGGCAGTCTAAGAAATGAACAACCTTGAGTACGGCCACATCTGGGAATCTGGGCAGGACAGCCAAGACTCAGTGGACCGGAACTAGAGACCTAAAATAGCCCTAGGAGACTCAGTTTCCAGAGTGTGTGTGTTTCCACTGTAGGCCACGCCATTATGTCACTTAGCTGCTCACTGTCTTGTCTAATTCTTTTCATCATTGTTGGGGCTTGGCCGTGACCATGACCTAACCTTCCTCGTGGTTTCTTTCTTCATGTTTTTCTCCTTCCTCTCCTTCCTCTCCTCCTCTTCCCCCCACCCCCTCTGCCTCCGCTTTCCCCTCCTCTCTTCTCACCTTTTACTTCTTTTCTCAGTACTTCTGTATCAGATTCTAGAGACCGGGTCTGATCGACTTGGCTGATCTTTTCATCCCAGGTTGCACCACTGGCCGTGGGTCAGCTTTACAGTTAACTGACCTGGCCTATCCTCCTCTAGTCAACTGTGGCTCTGCTAGGGATGATTTCAGTGGATATAGGTGGGCAGCTGCCTGAAAAATATGTCTACTGCAACTTATACCACACATATAAAGGAATAAAGTTAAAAGCATAATTGTTCTAGAGCTCTAGAGTTGGTTTTAAACTTAGTGCTGAAGTTAAGAGTAGAACCTATTTCTAGTTCCTCAGTTTGTGAATGCGAGTTCCAGGTAAAATATACTTAAATGCATGAATTAATTCACTATGAGGGTATCTTTGTTTTAAAGGCATTTATGTATGCACAAATATGTGTGTATATATACGAAATTATTTTGTGATGGGACATAAGCCATATTTAGATGAACTTAAAATAGCTCCTCTAAGCCTTTTATATAACGGCATTATTTTTGGTGATGGCAGAGTAAAGCAAGTATATTACAATACACTCCCTGCCTCTCGAAGAATTTTGCCTGTGTTAAGTCAATACAGGTATTGAACCAGCTCGTACAAGCCCTACAACAATTGGTTAGAGAATGAGGCTATTGCTTATACATTAAAACTCACTAAATGACCATTCCTATTTTATTGAGAGATTGTCTATGACTATGGGACTCATGCTTTTAAACAGTCACAATACTGTTATTATAGGCTGCTAGCACCATTCTGCCATGGTAAGAGTCACATGAGAAATACATAAGAAGGTTCAGATTTATGCTCCTAAAAATGATTCACTTGGACTTCCACTTCTGTCTAAGGAAGACTAGCTTGTATCAGATGTATCTTCTTGTGGAAAATGTTGAAAAGCTGGACAAAATAGAAAGACATATGTCTTCAGGCTTTGGAGAGCTAACAAAGCAACAAGGATTTAAGGAACCAAGATGAAGATAGAAAAGAAGTGAAAAAAAAAAAAAGGCAGAGAAGTAAGCTTGACATTTGGTGTCCTTTCCTCAGCAGGCATTTATTAGTTTGTGAGAATTGGTCAGGAAGCTGAGCAGAGTTCACAGCGGTCTCATGGACCAGAGGAATAAAAATTGGAGTTCAAGGTCTGCTAAGGAGGAGGGCCTCTGGTTACCACCCCAGGCTTTCAGCTGGAATCCCCATAGGGGCAGGCCTATGAAGAAGGGCAAACCCAGAATAAACTTGCATTCATTAAACTGAAGCATACTTTTGCCTCAGCTCAATATCAAACTGTATTTAAATGATCTCTCTCTTTCCTAACTACTTGCCAGAAGCAAACAAATTTTTCTCTGGCAGAAGATAGAACCTGAAATTATCTCTAGACCTTTTCATATGCATATGTCCACCATTCAGTTATAAATTATCAGGCATACCTAACACATTAATACCTTGTGACTGAAAATTAAGAGGGAACCCTCTAAAAGTGACAATGGTAATAAACCTGCTGGAGATCAGAAATAAAGGAAATGTCAGATGCAGGTTTTAAAATCACTGTGACTAATGGGTTCAAGAAAATAGACGACAGCCTGGAGAATTTAAGAAGAGAACTTGAATCTATAAAAAAGAACTGAATGGCGTACTTAACTAGAAAGCGTAGCAGCCAAAATTAAGAATGTAGTAGATGGGTTTTAAAGGAGGTTGACATGGCTGCAGAGGAGGATTAGTAAACTGGAAGACAGGGCAGTAGGTATGATCCTGACTAGCACATAAAGAGAGGAAAAAAGATCTCTTCATCATGAGACACCACTAAGAGATTGAAAAGGTGAGCCGCAGAGCGGGAGAATGTATTTGCCATTCATCTGCCAAATGATCTGTATGCAGAACACATAAGGGACTCCTACAGAGCAGTGTGAAGAAGTTAAGACAACTGAACAAAAAAATAAGCAATAGACTTAAATAGACACTTGATGAGGGAGGACATCCAAATGGTTGAAAAGGTAGTTAACCTCATTAGTCATCGGGATATACAAAATAAAAGCACAAAGAAACCCCATTACACATGTACCAGAATGGCTAGAATTAAAGCGTCTGGACATACCGAGTGTCGTGAGAACAAGGAACAACTCTCTTGTCAGCCGTTCTGGGAAATTGTTTGGCAGTGTCTATTAAATATATGTGTGCCTTGTGACCTAGCAAGTCTGCTCTCCAGCTGATACCCCATAAAAATGTGTACATATGATCACCAGAAGACACTTACGAGACTGTTCATATTACCCAAGTGTTCGTTAGCAAATGGATAAATAAGTATCATATTCTCACAATGTATACCAGTGGAAATTGATGAACTACTTTAATAAGCAATAACATAAGTGACTCTTACAAACATGACATTGAGCAAAAAGGCCAGACAAAAGAACGTGTAGACTGTATGGTTCCATTTATGTGAATTTCAAAAACAGGCAAAACACATTTATGATAATTATAAATGAAAATTGCCTTTGGGGAGGCAAGAAGGGGTAGTGACTGGGGTAACTGTGAGAGGCCCTGGTGGAGGGATTTCTGAGCTATGGCTGGTGTCCGTCTTGATCTGTGTGGTTGTTACCAGTTGTGTTCACTGAAAAGTCATCAACTTCATTCACACTTATGATTGGTGCCCTTTACTGTAGGCCTTTTATACTTCAAGAGCTTATCTTTGTATTGATTAATAACAATGCTACATTAGCCTTAAAAGGCATTTGATCCTGCCATTAAGAGTCTATGGTTAAGGTGTGGAGCTGATAAAATGGCTCAGAATTGTTATCTAGGTAATAAAATAGAACAGCTGCATATTTGTGGAGTCCATGCCGTCCTGCAGTGAGTGGACTATGCTATATATAAAAGGTAGCTGTTAGCCAGGCCTGAGAATATGCAAGTCAGACCACTGCAGAGACTTCTCCAGTTTAACTTCTTCGAAGTTCCAACTTGTCTTTCACCTGAACATTGGTGAATGCTGAAGGTAGGGCTAGGTGGCTAGGTGATAAAGGATTACATACTATTTACAAGGGAGGCTTCTTATGCCACATGCCGAAACAGAATACCTTATATATATGCACATTTACTTATTTAAAGAAAAAAAACCTCTTAATGCTGTAGATTAACCAAATCTCCAAAATAAAAAGTATTTTGCATGGATTTCATTCGGTGATGTGTTGATAAATATTTAACAGCTGTCTCTCTGGGGGCACAAGCCCTGGTCTGAGGTCTTTCATGGTGGAAATATTCCCCAGGGCTCATTTCATGGTGGAATATTCCCCAGGGAATATTCAACGTGATGTCACTGAATCTGTGGCATTGAGAATGATACTCATCTCACTATCATGTGGTATTTCCACCACAGAGATATGTAAGACATAAATCACCTCAAAAACAGAGATAATATGTATATAATTATAAAGTAATGTTTTGAGTATTTATTACTTTTGTTTGAACTATAACTTAATTATACATTTAGGTAATTAATTTTTGTGATGGCCCTGTTTAACAACTTGCTTTCAAAATTCCTGAAAATTTGGCAATTTTCCACTCTCTGAGCACGCTGGCTGCAGTACTTCACTGGAATTGCAGGAACAAATTCTTGCAATTCAAGAATTGCAAGTTTAAGATGTTTAACGTTGTAGATTGAGATATAGATTGAGGTTCAAGAAGGAAGGCTGAGGTAGCAGAGGAGGCCTTTCTTCTACTTCTTACATGTAGAGATGCTAGATTGTGTATCATCTGATCTTTGACAAACCAAACAAAAGGTTACGCTGGGGAAATGAATCCCTATTTAATAAATGGTGCTGGGAGAACTGTGTAGCCACATGTAGAAGACTGAAACTGGACCTACACCTCTCACCACTTACAAAAATTAACTCACCCTGGATAAAAGATTTAAATCTAAGATATGAAATTATAAAAACCTTAGAGAAAAGTGTGGGAAAAACTCTTAATGATATTGGCCTTGGGAAAGAATTCATGAAGAAGGCACCAGTGGCAACTGCGATAACAAAAATAAGTAAATGGGACCTCATCAAATTAAACTTCTAAGGACACAATCAACCAAGTAAATAGACAACCTTCAGAATGGGAGAAGATATTCACATGTTAGGAAGTGGAGAAAGGGCTCATGACTAGAATATACAAAGAACTCAAGCAAATCAACAAGAAAAGATCAAACAACCTCATCAATCAAGGAGCAAGTGGCACGGACAGAACCTTTTCCCAAGAAGACAGATGAATGGCCAACAAACATATGAAAAATGGCTCATCATCTCTCATCTCAGAGAAATGCAAATCAAAACCACCTGGAGATGTTGCCTAACACCAGTGAGAATAGCCCATCTCACAAGGTCCCACAACACAGATGCTGGTGTGGGTGTAGAGAGGCGGGTACATAGATGCACTTGGTGGGATTGCAAACCAGTACAGTCTTTTTCAGAGAGAAGTATGGAGAATCCTCACAGAACTAAAAGTAGACCTCCCACTTGACCCTACAAACCCAATACTACTCAGAAGAAAAAAAAAATGATTTTACCATAAGGACATTTGTACTTGAATGTTTATAACAGCTCAATTCGTAATTGCAAAAATGTGGGAAACAGCCCAAGTGCCCATCAGCTCATAAATGGACTAATAAACTGTGGTATATGTATACCATGGAATAATATTCAAAAAAGATGGAGACTTTTCATCTCTTATATATACCTGGATGGATTGGGGGAATGTTCTCCTAAGTATCTTAAGAATGGAAAAGCAAGCACCCCATGTAGTCAGTACTAGTCTGAGAATAGTAGACCAGCGACTTATAGGCTCACATCAGAGAAAAGCACAATTAAATTCAAGAAGGGGAGGGTGGGATGATGGGAGAGGGCTTGATTATTTCTCAACTATCATGTACAATGTAGGATTATTTGACACACTTCTTGGGTGAAAGACTCAATTACAACTCAGACTTTGGACTTCACCTTATAAAAGGAAATAATCTAACCTGATTGTGTGTACCCTCCTATTAACCCTTAAAAAAATAATATAGCTCAACTAAAAAAAAGTAAGATCAATCACTAAGTCCCCCAAATGAAAAAGGCATCGCAGTAGTATGTGAACATTGAAGGTATATATCTGGTGGGGGTAAGACCTGATTTGTACCTTATGAATATTTTATGGGGTTATGGGATGAAGCCACAGACTTCCTGTGTCCCAGAGAGCTAGATCTAAGCTCTTGGCATATGGTAAACAGCAAGAAAGGGCACCTCATTGGAGAAACTGCTCACCAGACTGAGCATGCAGGTTGGAGGCGCGTGGGCTCTGGATGGAAGCAGTCAATCCCGAGAAGTTAGGAGTCCTTCCCCTGTGCCGTGCTCAAGTGAGATTCCCGCATTCTTGTTCCACTTAGAACCGTGAAAGCCCTGAACTGAGAAACAAGTGGATCAGCGAACCCTGTTAGGCCTTTGTAGAGATTGCAGGGAAATCACCACATGAAGACACTTTCACAACTAGGGCGTATTTGGTACTTTTGCAGAAGACAACTCCTGTTGAATATGAGTCATGGGGAAGAATTACAATACATACAAGGAAATCCGGTGCCCTGAGAAACTACACATGCGATAGATGGAAGAATCATTCACACGGCAATCTGAAAGGGGCTTTAAAACCAATGTACATACAAATTTAGGGAGTTACAGAAAGGAATATTATCATTAAGACAATAGGATATGAGGAAAAAACAGAACAGGTGGATTCAAAAGAGAACAAAATAGGCTTCGACTCCATGGCTCACGCCTATAATCCTAGCACTCTGGGAGGCCAAGGCAGGAGGGTCCCTTGAGCTCAGGAGTTCAAGATCAGCCTGAGCAAAAGTGAAAACCCCATCTCTACTAAAAACAGAAAAAATTAGCCAGGCATTGTGGTAGGTACCTGTAGTCCCAGCTACTCAGGAGCCTGAGGCAGGAAGATCGCTTAAACTCAGGATGAGCTAGGCTGATGCCATGGCACTGTAGCCTGAGCAATAGAGTGAGACACTCTCTAAAAAAAAAAAGTCCAGGCCTGTGGCTCATGCCTGTAATCCTAGCATGCTGGGAGGATTGCTTGAATTCAGGAGTTCAAGACCAGCCTAAGCAAGAGCAAGACCTCATCTCTACTAAAAATAGAAAAAATAACCAGATGTTGTGGCAGGTGCTTGTAGTCCCAACTACTTGGGAAGCTGAGGCATGAGGATCGTTTGAGCCCAAGAGTTTGAGATTGTCATGAGCTATGATAACACCATGGCATGCTACCCAGGGTAGAGTTTAAAAAAGAAAAAAAAAAAAGGAAATTTCTAGAAACAAAAAATACAATCTTTGAAATAAAAGTTCAACTGATAGTGTGGATGTTTTTATGCAGTATGTGAGATCAGGTAAAGTGAGAATTAGATTAGTGAACTGGAGATAGACCTGCAGTACTTTGATTAAGCTGTGTTGATCCAAAGAGTATGATATTTAAACTTGGCATCAGGTTTAAACTTTAGTCACAATTTTAAAAAAATGTAATTATAGCCTGGTAATTGATAGCTTAGGAAAATGACGCATATCTTAATATAATGTTTTTTAATTTAATGCTTTGGATAATTAAATATTATTGACCTTTTATAAACTATAGTGCATAGAACAGAGTCTGGCACATTATAGATACTCAATAAATATCTGTTGAATAAATGAATGAATGAAATGTTAGAATAAAATCATAGCTACAACCTTTTAATTTCAGAATTTAACAGAGACTACTAGGATTCACAGATCTGAGCCTAAACTCCCATTTTTTTATTTTCATCTGATGGTATTTGTTTTAGAGGTAAATTCAATAATCTAAGCAAAGTATCACTGTTGATACCTGTCTTGCCCATGAAATCTTGGCTTCTGGATAACTACGGAAATACATATCAATGAATGAGGTTCTTTTCTTCCATGATTCTGGGTGAACTGATGAACTAAGGTTGTATTGCATATGTTTATATTCTAAGACAGATCACATTTGCTGGACTTGTCATTATTAAGAATGTGTTGAGGTTTTTAATTATAAATCTATAAGAGACGATAAGGACATTATGGAAAGCAGTTGTGAGTTATCAACGAATGAATTCTTCCTGTTTTGCTTAAAACAAAACAAAATGTAAAGTGAAGAACTTAACACAGATGACAATTTTAGTTACAGTTTAACATGATTCTCAAATTCTGAAAGGTTTTTGATCATGCATTTTGTAAGTGGCGTAGTCGGTGAGTTTTGTTTGTGATGAACCGGTGGTTTGATCCTCCTCACTCGCTCTTTTCCCTGAGCAGGTGCGGACGTTTTATACGAAGGTGCTGAATGAAAAGGAGAGGCAGCGTCTGTGCGAGAACATCGCCGGCCACCTGAAAGACGCGCAGCTCTTCATCCAGAAGAAAGCGGTGAGTCTCTGCAAGCTCAAGGGTGACATCTGCTGGCTGGGGAAGTCAGCGCAGCCGTGTGGAGAAACCTTAAAATGAAGCACCGTTATTGATAATACTTAAGCTAAGAGGACTTAAAAAAAAATAGTAGTAATTCTCCAACCAACCTCTGATTATTTCCTCACTCTGTGTTTTATGTAGTATGGCATATCCATCAATCTTCAGCTGTTCATCCAGTGTGTACTAATTTACCTGACAGGGTACAGGGTACATTTTATCCTGTGCTGTTTGACTACAGCCAAGTTCTGTGCAAGATAGTAAATGCCTAATATCGAAATGGTTTGAAGCCTGTCAAAGGCTTACTGATATGATACCTTGATCCTTCCGATGTAAACTAGAATTTGCACGATTTCTGGGGTAAAAGTGAGCTACTTCAAAAGGCAGGCTGGACTTTGAGCTATGGTACTAGGGTATTTCTTGTGGCCAGGAGCTCTGTGAAGCCCTCTCACTTGTGATCTTCTGGTCTGTCCCAGGGCCAAGCTGTTTGTAAATCTAGGAATCCCAAGATTCCTTGGCCCCTGATTGCTGCTTCTCCCTTCCTAGGCTGGCAGCTGTGAGGACTGTGGTCAAGGGTTCAAGTTCCAGCAGAGAGCCTGGTGGTTGCTCAGTGTGACAGGCAGGCCAGGTTTTATCTCGCTTCACTAGAGAGAATGGATAAGGCAGCTTGCAAGTAGTGGCCCTGGGCTCGTGACCTTGGCGTTCTCCCTTCACGTAGGCTGAAGCTGTGAGGCTTCACAGGGTTTCATGGTGCTCCATCTCCTCCCGCTGTCTCCTGGGAGCTCCTGCCTGAAGTACCTGGGTTTGCCCTGCAGGTGCCAAGGTCTTTGCACACCTCACTGTAAATTCAGGCAGTGCCCAGGCTTATTTTTAAATACAAATCATTGTAACTTGTTAAGTAATTACCCGGGGACAGCTCTTTACATGGCAGTAAACGCAGCAGCTCACCTCATAGGCATTTTTCTCACAATATCCTATGAAGTAGGTTGTGTGTTTTTTGTGGATTTTTTAGTTTGTTTGTTGGTTGATTTTGGATTTTTTTATTAAACCAACGACAAGCAATTCTCTAATTCTTTGGCAGCAACCGAGTGTTCTGTAATTCAATTCAATTCTGACACTATGTCAGAGCCCACAGATTTAGGGTTCAGCCCCACAAGACTGTTCCTACTTTAGGTGACAAAAGAGTGCCCTGGCTGCCCACACGTCTGAAAATTCTGACTGCAAATTTAAGGATTCCCATGACCTTTTCTCAGGTTTGATAACTTTCTAGAAAAACTCACAGAACTCGGGAAAGTACCATACTTATGATTACTGGTTAATTATACAGGGTATAGCCAAATGGCAAAAATGCATATGGAGAAAGGGCTCCGAGCTTCCATGTCCCTCTGGGGGTACCATGCTGCTGGCACCTTGATGTGCTCCCCCAAAGCCAGAAGCTCCATGACCCTGTCATTTCAGGTCTTTATAGAGACTTCCACAAGCATGATTGATTAAATCATTAGATGAGATGGTTGAACACAATGTCTAGCTCGTCTCCCCTCCCTGGAGGTTTGGGGGTGGGGCTGAACATTCTAGCCTTCTAATCACATGCTTGGTCTTTCTGGCACCATCCTGAGGCTGTCTAAGGACTCCCCCCCCCCCCGCCCCAGGAGTCATCTTAATAACATATGAAGTCAGTAAATTCCAAGGATTTTAGGAGGTCTATGTCAGGTCCAAGGGACAAAGCCCAAGTATTTGTTTATTTAATTATACTATTAAGGCATAGATGTAACTGCTTGCTCATTTCTGGAGAGGGATGTTGAAGCTCAGAGAAGTGAAGTGACTTAATTTTCCCAGGTTGTTTAGCCAGTCTATGTCAGAGTTGTCACTGGACCCCCAAGTTGTACTCCAAGGTCAGTGCTGTTGAACGCCGAGTGGAACTGCCTTCTGCTGCAGTGTCCTTCCTCCCCTGTGGAGTAGGCACTATGACATGGAACACTGGGGAGAGGCATAGTAGGGAGTGAGGGTGGGGCTTACATCTCTTTCTGTTTGGCTTTAGGTCAAGAACTTTACTGATGTCCACCCTGACTATGGGAACTGCATCCAGGCCCTTTTGGACAAATACAACGCCGAGAAGCCTAAGGTGAGCCCGGAGCAGCCTGGCCGTGACAGAGGCCGTGTGCTGGATTAGGCTAGCATGGTTTGCTTTCCCTTCAGCATTGTTCTCTTCAGAGGCCATTACCTGCAACTGTTAGATTTCTTAAGCAGCTGTTCAGAAACTCATTTGAGATGAGTTTCTCAAAAAACTCAGCTGCCAAACACAGATACTCTTCATTTTAGCTCTGGACAGCACAAGACAGTTTAAAGTGAATAAATTCTGAATTATTATTTTAACTTTGGGTTAAAATTAACTTTGGGTACAAATTAAAACTAGGTAAGTACCAAATTGCTGTTGCCTGTGAGCTAAACTTATGGTCTTGTTCTCTTAAAACAGAATGCGATTCATACCTTTGTGCAGTCTGGGTCCCTCCTGGCTTCAAGGGAGAAAGCTAATCTGTGAAGCTAAAGGGCCCCAGTCCCTTGCCAAGGAGCTCTGTGCCTACCAAGCAAAGCTTAACGTTCGCACATGTAACCCACTCATCACTGGAAAGAAGATTCTCCTGTGCTCGATACACAAATGCTGGATAGAAGATTCTCTTGTGCTTGCCATGCATGCAAGCCAGTGTCTTTAAAATGATCGTCCAGGTTGCTATAGCAAATAATGTAATGACTTTTAATGCAGGTTAGGGGGTTAACAATCATTTAAAAAACGTGTTTTCGTTTTTTTGACAGCTGATTGGATTACTCATTTAAAATGCTTAGGAGGAAAGTTTCTAACTAGAAGTGAGATTTTATTTGATAAGAAAAACATTTTGGTGAAATTAATATGTTTACATATCACCTTAGGGCCTATTATATAAAAACAGGGCTGTGATTATACAAGAAGAAAAGATCATGGGGATCCACTCAGAATTTTTATGTTTCTAAGGTTCTTATAGGAAAAACACATTTAATACATCAGTATCTTCAGAGAAAACTCTAGCATCTTCATGGCTTAATGATTATGTCTGTAATTCTGTAATTCATCAGGTTCAGTTTTTATTTTTCCACTTGGAATTCTTTTTGTGCAAAGTCGGCATTGATTTCACATCAGATTGATTTGTAATTGCCTATCAAATTTTTACAATAAAAGAAATATGTATGTAAGAATAGAAATGGTATTTGATTTCTTTTGACTCCATATATCACTTGGAAATTATCTTTAAATCCTTAATTTGAACACCATCTATATTCAGAGGCTTATCCTTAAAAACAAAAATACCAATATCATGATGTTACTTTGTTATTTGTTTAAATCGGTAGTCTTTGGATAGCCTTCTGAGATACCGAGAAAATAGCAAATGCTCTAACTCGGAAAATTACTTAAATCTCCTGTCCATTAGCTCATATAAGTTTTTAAAATAGGGGCTCAGACCGACTAGTTATTTTCTTTCTTCTTTTTCTTTAAACCCATATTTGCCTATGAAAATGTTTGAAAATCCCATGGATGACATTAAAGGTAGATTCTAAATCTTGAAAATCTTTCTTCCCTTTGTCTTCAGAACCAGTTTGTTCTTAACTCTCAGGGGTTTCCTGAGATGTGGGCTTCAGGAAACCAGTAGGTACAAACTCTCAGTGTTTAGCTCAAATTTCTTTACTTTCCTGTCAAATTCCTCTCCTGCCTAAATTCCTCCTGTGTTGGAGTATGCTTTGGAAAGTTATATTTATAGACGTAGAAAATAGAGTTATCCATTCGCATCCGGTGGTAAATACTTTCAACATCTTAATAACTTTACTATAGTTCTCTCTTCTTATAGCATTAAATCTATAAGATAAATTAATAAAATTAAAATTATTTGATAAAAAGAAGGGAATTTATTTGAATATTGGTTATACGCATAAAGACAGTTTTTGAAATTTTTGTTTGTTTTATTTTGTAGTTTAAAAATAAACTGGTTGCAATCATGCGTATCTAACCTAGTTCCTGCATGTAAATATCTCACACCTATAATACGCCCCCCACCCCACCCCGTTTTGCTCTTGAGACTTCTTATTGTGATTGTCAAAGATAAATACTGTCCTCCAGTTAGGTTTTACTTCCTGGGAGATACTATCTAATTATGTTCCTCTAAGTGACATTAAAATACAATCTGAGAGTTTCCGAGCCAATTTAAAAGGAGGGCCAAATTAGTAAAAGTCAGTATATTATAGTGACCTTAGAACCAGACAGTCCTAGATTGAAATTCAAGCGCTGTCATTCAAATAACTTTCCTCCTCTGAATATTAGTTTTCTTATCTTCTGCTTTCAAAATAAGGCAATTTATGTCAAGAAATGAAACAAAATCTCAAAATAACAAGTGAAAAAAAAGTACCATGTATACCAAACAAAAATGAATCTGTAGGGCTACGCTGGCCTGTGAACTTCATTTATCTCATGTATTAAAGGTGGTGAGTAATATTACTCCATGTATTTCTTGCATCTTTTTGGGATTTATTTATTTAGAAACAGAGCCTCGGCTCGGCGCCTGTGGCTCAAGCGGCTAGGGCGCCAGCCACATACACCTAAGGTGGCGGGTTCAAATCCAGCCCAGACCCGCCAAACAACAAAGATGGCTGCAAAAAATAGCTGGGTGTTGTGGCAGTTGCCTGTGGTCCCAGCTACTTGGGAGGCTGAGGCAGGAGACTCGCTTGAGCCCAGGAGTTGGAGGTTGCTGTGAGCGTGATGCCATGGCACTCTACCCAGGGGGATAGCTTGAGGCTCCGTCTCAAAAAAAAAAAAAAAAAAAGAAACAGAGCCTCACTCTGTTGTCTGGGCTAGAGTGCTGTGGTATCAGCCTGGCTTGCTCACAGCAACTTCAAACTCCTGGGTTTAAATGATCCTCCTGCCTTAGCCTCCTGAGTAGCTAGGACTATAAGTACCTGCCACAGTGCCAGGCCAATTTTTCTGTTTTTAGTGGAGATAGGGTCTTGCTCTTGCTTATACTGGTCTGGAACTCCTGAGCTCAAGGGATCCTCTGGCTCCGCCTTCTGGAGTGTTAGGATTACAGGTGTGAGCCACTGCACCTGGCCCTTTCTGGGCTCTTTAAAAGTCTCCCGCTCTGAACTGTAGGCAATGGGAGTGTCATCAAAAGTTTTATAGGCTGTCAGTGCTTTGCTGAGCCTACTATGCTGGACTGAATGATACGGAGACAGTTGAACATGTTAAATATTTTATTCACATTGTTTACAAACTATATCCACCTGAAAAACACATGAGTCAAAAAATAGAATATTTTACAATAATTCACATTTTTTAAAACAAGTTACTTTTGAAAGTAAGCTCTAGATATGGAGGCCTTCAGCTTGTATAGAGGTTCAGGGCCTCCTCACATGACAATTCTGGCTGTGGTGAAAAAGAAGTCCCAGGGGCAGTCCACCTAGTTGTAGTCATCAATTACTTACATACCAGTGACTAATGAGAAAATGTCAGTGCAGACTTTAACCCATGCACATTTATTGGTGTAAATTCACTGTTACTATTTTTGTCAAGGAAATATGTGTTTTAGCGATCAAGGATACATCAGGTAGGAAGACAAAAAGAGACTCACAATTTAATTGGCCATTACAGAGTGGTTGGGACATTTCCAGTTCTAGAGAGGTTTAACATCTTGACCACAGACGGAATCAATGAATTACGATTTTATTGTGTTGACAGTTTGAATCATAGAAACACTAGTGATTTGGAAGTTGATATACATATCTATTGACTAACTCTTTGCACATGTGATGTCAACCATCACTTAGGAGAAGAGGGGAGATAAACCCAGCAACAACTAATAGTGTGGCTGACTAAGTGTTTAGTTCTGGAAGGATGGCCATGGGAGTTCTGCTAAATGGTCAAAAAGATACTCTGGTTAAGAAGCTTATTATTAACTTATCATAAACCTGATTATATCCCAGCTTGATGGCTTAGCTCTTTTATTCGTGAAGAAACTTTTCTATGGAATTTGACTGTAATGATTTAAAATCTAAGTATCTATGTCTTACATCTCACCCTCTTCTATAAACTACAGAACTAATCACATTTTTTCCCCTTTCGTGAGCTGCCACAGTTCACCACCTGAACCTTTGGATAGAAGTATTCAATGGGTCTCTAATGGTAAAATTGAATCGGTTTTCTCTGATCAGCACCAACAACACTGGCTATTGTGTTTCTGCAACTCTTGATTAGGGAAATAATGTTTGATCAAGGTACCATAAAACATCATGCCCTCCTCCCCTTGGGTGGGGGGGGGAAGGATTTCTTAAGGGTCACTGCCATCACCCCAAGTAAGTAACAACTTTGAATCCAAATGTAAGCTGAGACGTGGACAAATGTTATCAGCATGTTTGCACATTTTTTTTTTAAGACGACTTTCAAACGTCTATTGCAATCTGGTTGCTTTAAAAGACAGAAATCCATAAAGTGAGCTTGATGCCTGGAGTCGATCATAGCTTGTCTTCCTGCCACCCATGTGCATTTTTTCCAAATTTGTACACTAACCTTCGGTCAACCCGTTCCAAAATTCCCGTTTTGTAGTAGTATCTGGGAAGGCAAGCAGAAGACAGGGGGGGTTTACACTTCAAGAAAACAACAGAACGTAAACACTCTGTCCTCACTCCTCTCGGGTGACAAGGCTGGTCTCTGGTTACCCCGGTATTTTCACACCCTGTTATCAACTTACACTTAAACCTTTCCCAGACATCTTGAAGACTGAACCTCCCCCTTCTCAGTTCAAAACGTGTTTTGTGTGTGTGTGTGTGTAAGAGATGGCCCGGGTTCAGAGCGATCCCTGGGGAATACTGCCAAGAATGAAAAGGACAGCGTTTCAGTTTACAAGCCATAATCCCAACTTGGAACTAAGAACCAAAGTTTGGTCTCATGACCTTTCTATTACCAGGCTGCAAACACAGTGTAATTAACTCTTCTTGAAGGCTCATGGTGCTCCATGCTATACACTCACCTCAGGGCTCTGCTCAACTTTTCATAGGTCATTCTGTCGTTTTTCTTCCTTTGTCCCCACATCTTCGCCAGGGCTTCTGATTTAACCACCCGAAAAATACCTTGTTCCCTATCTTCCCATTCCAGAATGCCACAGTTTTCCTCAGGAGACAGAAGCAGGTCTCGGACAAATTCCCATAGATGAGAACTTTGGAGGCCTTTTGAAAAGGGGGAAAAAAATGAACCACTTAAAATATGAATATTTCTTCACTTTCAGAGTTGTTCAACTTCTCATTTACCCATCAGAATTGCTGCTTTCTGGGGATATTTCTCTCCATTGTGGCTGAGGGTTCTACCTGGACTCTTACCAAGATGTGAAATGTCTGTCTTCCATGAAAGTAAATGCATTACGGACAAAGACACCAAGTTTACATTGGCAGGCCATACTGTGGCTCACTGAGGTTCTATGGAACCACAATTCTTATGGAATGAATGAAATGATAGTCAAATGGTCTTTTTATTCCTTTTGATAGGCAGTGTGGTTGTGCTAAGATCCTATAGCCACAACCATCTGGTTGGACCAATCCTGCAAGTTAGTTCTTCATAGAAAGCTCTTGTTCTGGCTCGGCGCCTGTGGCTCAACCGGCTAAGGCGCCAGCCACATACACCTAAGGTGGCGGGTTCGAATCCCCAGCCCGG